AATGACAACCTGGTGGTTCCTTCTGACAGAATACATATTGATTGGTGGAATAATGATTACGATAGTCCAGTATTATAACCATGGGCTAATTTTTTTGGCCATATATGATTAATTTTTGGGTGTGACAGATAGAGATGGATATGGAACGGGATCGGTAGGGGCCCATTATGCATGATTTTAATTGGGCGAATTAGTATTGAGTATCATAAGGGGGTAATCCATGATTATATATCACGCATGTTGTTTATTACTGGGTTTGATATGAGTTATAAAGGCCTTCTTTTTACGGAGAATCATTTGAGATGGATTAGCATGATGGTTGGATACTGTCCTGATGTGGCAACGCCGACATAGCTGATGGTGGTTTAACAGACATAAATGAACAAATAACAAATGAACAAATGAAATATCGGTGTAACAAATCAATAAATAAAATGAAGAAGAAGAATCAATCATTGACGTATACTATACCAAATCGGAATATGAAAATAAACAAATTGGGTATACTACCCAATCGCAAACCTCTGGCAAGTCATGGGGGGATGGTGAAGCAGCCCTTGTATACTCGTTGCTTAAGATGTAATACACCTAGAAGGATATGTGAAATTAAAAAAAGTGCATCTTGTACAGTTATCCAAAAAATGCTATGTAGACTTTCTAACATCAACATATCTAGACCCCCTGGAATGTCTACATAGCATCTACATAGCAATGTCTACGTCAACATATGGCAGTGTGTCAAAACCTTGTACCCCTGGTGAACATCAAAATAGCTGGTAAATGGATGTTCATCCCACTAAAAATGGTATTAATAGGTATTGATCCATACCCATATAAATGCTATCTAGACATTCTCGATTGCACCCTGGGAATTCTCAACTGGAGACCCTGGTCCTAGCGACCGTCGAGAGCCCCAACGCCCAGTCGTTTTGGTGGCAGCTGCGATGGCGGTGCCGGGATCCTGTAGGGATCAATGGAGATTGGCCCTCCTGTCATACAAAAAGATAGGGAAAACCAACCGTTTGTAGATGATTTTCCTAGGAAAACATAGGGAAACCATGGATTCTCCACATCTTTCTGAAAGTAAACTTGGGTTTCTAGATGTTTATTGTGGATCATATGACGATCGTTGGACGGAGTTTTCTAAACCCACCTTTTTTCACTGCGGGAAAAGGGGGCCGTCCATTCGCATGGGAACGAGGATGATCCCATCTGAACGAGGATGATCCCATCTGTGTTCACCCTGCAATGTGTTGCATGGACAAAGGGGATGGGATGGGAATGACTTACTGGTGCTAAAAGTAGGGAATTTTCGGGAATGATCCCAGTCATCACTAGTAATGTCATCATCCCAGCAACCCCCAGCCACCCATCATAACCCATCCAGCAACCCTACGTAAAACGCACCAGTAAGATGATTGGAGGACGGAAATCTTCACTTTGACTATGGAATCCCATAGGTGCCTAGCCGCCTTCGTTCCGTCCTGCTGCTAGATGCAACTTGGCTTGAATCGACTCCTGCATGTCACACAACGCAGAGAAGTTCCGACAGGTTTCGGGTTCTGAACCTATAGTATGTATGTGGGGAACGTAAACTAACAAGATCGAAAACCACGGTATAAAAGATCTATCTACCCCCATTGTAGATATATTATATAGATCATCTACCATAAACTATACTTCATGTCATGACTTGGGCTGCACCACCAATATTATCTTTCCTTTGCTAAGTCCAAGCTGCAAAATCATATATGTGTCCTTTACTTTTCACATCATCTTCCATTAGATGGAGTGGTGTCATCCCTGTAAATCTAGGATTGTATCAAACCTATAAATAATGTTATAGTTATATCCATCAAATATCATGGTTGTAGAACTAGTATAACTCCAATGATCTGCAAAACAGGGTATTTGGGTATCCATAAAAACAGACATAGACGTCGCAAGCTGCTTGTCACTGACTCCTTCATCTTCGTCTTCTGGGTGCACATCTCGCAATCTTCCCTTCGGTCGCCTGCCCAGTGGAATGTCATTGAGGAGGAGATCATGCCAGACATGCGGGGGTAAGGGGTACCACTGTAGTGGCAGAAATAAATCACCTTGATGTGTATAGCTACCCTCCAAAGAATCTGAATCAACCAGATAGATAAAGATCAACCAGGTTACCCCAGCTTTGTGTCCCAAGGGCTGCGGAACCATCGCCGATCAACAAACAAGAAGTCCACAGGTCTAACTTGTGTTCCGCAGGTCCACAGGTGTCACTGGAGGCACAAGTTTCAATTCCAATTGTGGGGCTTCCCACTGAAAGCTACCCAAATCTGTAGTTTTTTAAGAACCCCAGATTTTTGTTGACACACTCATCCTAGGCTTAGCCGCCTTGAGCCATCCATTGGGAAGTTCAGGACCCCATGGATCGTCCATGGCCCAGGAGTACCGTATTGATACGAAGCTTTTCGGCTCGGGACGGCCTTTCTTTTGCGCAATGTGCGTACTGAATGTGTCTCGGGCGAGACATCGTGATTGCTGCACTAGGTCGCATGAACCTTGGTCTGATGATGCTGTGACTGTCGGCTGCTCATGGCACAAGGAGTGCTTATGTGTCTCCATCATGTCTGCCTGAAAGCCAAAAATAGGAAGCAGCCAACTGCAAGGAGGAAACCAACATAGCCTGTCGATTCAGGCTTTGGTGCTCTCACCGCTACAGTGAAGAGTCACCGTATGTGCCAGGTCGGATGACTTTCTCAAGGCCAAGAAACAGAATGGCTGTCATGTTGGGAGACACATGTTGACCCAACAAGTCAGGCATTATTTCGTAACTCATACCCGCTTGAAGCCGCTTCAACCCTCAAAAATCTTTGGCCAGAGGTCAGCTCTTCTCACCATGTCCTCGCACTTGGGCGCAGGCCAAAGCCAATTCTCTTTTCCCTTCGTCCCTCTGTGTGTTTGCAGCAAAAGATCCTCCCACAGAACAGGGAACAAACATATTCCTAGGAGCGATCTGATTCCAGGCTGCGTGGTGATCCAATGGTCTGCAATATACAGCCCTCGCAGGCTCAAATGCAATAGAAGAATTCTGACATATTTGCTTGATTTAGATTTGGTCCTATGACCCAAACAAATTCCAGCAATTCTGATCAAAATCACAAAATCACACATCTTTGGGTTTAGAAATTAGAATCCGAATCTTTTTCAGCCCTTGCCCCACAGCCACCCTGCTCTTTCCTGGGGGCTGAAAGTCGGGAGAGGAGCTGCATCTTCCTCTGCACATTTGCAGACTTGCCACCAGCATCTTGAAAAGGAGACGAACGCTTCCTGGTAAAAGGATGGAACGTCGGGCTTGAACCACAAAGTCATTCTATACGTCACCGGAGGACGTGACCAGCCACTCGTGGGGTGGCTCCTGCAAGTCAACCTTTTTGTTGTTGTCTTGTGGAGTACGTGCAGATGTCAGCACGCAGACGTCAGGTGACATCACGCCAAAATTCCAGGTGTCCTGAAGAATTAGGTGCAGTGGTGTTTGAAAAGGCGAGCCCTGCAGCTCGCGTTGAACGCATCAAGACGGCGACTGTACACCTACTAGCGGCACCAAGGCCGAGAAGCATTGCAAAGTTGCAGCCTTCCAAGGATAGGCTCTGTTGATTCGAACAGTCAGGGTAGGACACCAAACATCAGTACTTCGACACAACCACCTTTCAGAGGAACTTAAGCAACTTTCGGTGCTTGAAATGCGGGGACAAGCATAAGAGGAGCGCAAAGATCTGAGAGAGGAAGAGGGTTAGTGTTCACAATCTGCTTGGTGGTTGAACCATCCAGAACCAAATAAAAATATCATGAAACATCTTATATGGACATATCATATATAATAGATAGACGATATACCGCGGATTCATGAGAGATGAAATGCGGATCTTCAAACTAACAACAGAATGGAAATCACTCAAGGACACTTATTTTGAAAGTCTGTTTGAGAAAAGTTCATGGAACCATCCCCCGGGGCCCCCCATCCCCTGAATTTTCAGTACCCCCCCAAACAAAACCCCTGGTTTGGTACTGGATCTATTCGTTCTATTGAATTTTGGGATCCCACAGGCAAGATTCAGTTGGGGCCACCACATAACCTGATCGCTGATAGCTTACCTCATAAACTACAAGGCCTTGAACAGTGATGCTCTTTGAATCTCTGTATCACTCAGGAAGGTCAAAAATTAAAGACCCAAAAAACACATGAACCGGCCATGTTTAGTATGAAAATGTATGAACATGTATGAAAGCATTGGAGTTTTTGGATGTTTTTGGATGTTTTTGGATGTTTTTGGTACCTCAGTGAATTGCCCATCCCCACAGTGGCCCCTAGCAGTTCTAAATGGGGCTTGTACCCCGAGAGTTGTCTACCAGTTGAATGAGATTGGAATATATTCCTAGTATTCCCAGTATTCCCAGTTGGGTTCATCTGAAAATTGGCTATTCATCATTTTCCCTGTCAAAATGCCTTCATGGGGATATCCCCGTTGACCCAGTAAGTGGCTGAGTTTTTGTTGCCCCATCTTGATCTATGCTCCCTTATGCGGCTGATCGATATCGACCGCCCTCGGGGCTCTCCGCCGGTGCGTCACCGCGGTCATTGGAGTAACGACCACGTGGGTGTCGTTCTCCGCGACGGTACCACACGCCGGGACGGACCCATCGCAGCGAGACTTCGTGATCCAAGAGGTGTCTCATTAGTCTTTCCCAAATTGAGTTTAACAATAGTTTAACCCCTCAGGCTCCGGTGAAAACGGATTTTTTGGCCCATTTTCTTTGAAAGGTTGATGAATCCAGGCTTGACGCAGGATATGCAACAACAACTGGTGGAAAAAAAGATCGAAGCTTCACTTGGATCACGTGACGACCAGTCATCACCATGAGTTCCCCCATTGAATCCACTTTTGTACGGGTTCCCAAGACTGCACGCGCCATTTCTCAAGAACTGGGTGAGCTGGGTGGCAACAGAATTTCGGAATGCTTTCCAGTGCAGCCTCTACCCCTCGTGGCCAACGGGGTCGACACGCATCAGACTTCCAGCAAATGTTCTGCAATCTGCTGGAATCTGCTGCGATGTCCCTTGAAACACCAGGCAAGTCTTCAGACAGTTATGAAAGACTTAAGAAATTGCAGCAATTCGATGAATTCACTTAACACTCGCGTTCTCGTCCAATCTCCGCCATTTTACCCTCCTGCCAACTCAAATCACCTGGCGGATCGCCGGCTCGGGCTGGAAACCCCTATGGAATGGAAAGCCATGGTTTTGCCAACTTCACCAAGAAGATCAACTGTGTATCCAAGCCTTCCTTCAGTATACGCACATGGGGATGTCCAAAATATCAACGGCATCCTGCGTGCGAAAAGCTCAGGCAGAAAGGCCATGTTTATCAGCCCCGGTGAAAAGGATTGACGCTTAGTTGCTTGGAAAAAAAGTAACTGGATGTAACTGGTTTTTATTGGGGTTTATTATATGATCGACATTGATCAACTTATCAGGATCAGAATATTGATAATGTAAATATTATTTGATACAGGGATAGTGGTTAATCAACTTATCTTATCAGGATCACTATCAACCTATTTACTATTTGTTAATGCGAATCAGGGTTGAATCAGGGTTGATTGTCTTCTCCCATCACCTGTATCTCTTCCTTTCCCAGGGATTCGAGAGAATGCCGCAACGTCCCTTCGCGCCGGTCCGAAGCCCTGCGCCGGTCCGAACGTGGAGACATATCGAAGGAGAGGTCTTTCTGCATGTATTGATCCACCTGGGAGCATCACCCTGGCCCAGAAATCACGATACCGTTGTCCTTCAAGGGGTGATGGGACACAAATCCCCATGAATCATGGGACACATGGAATCGACATGGACCATGAAACCACATGAAACCCAAGCCCATCACCCACCTGTGGAAGATAGTTGAACAGGGGAGCAACGGCGGAGTTCTCGGCCACCTCTCTTCCCCACAGCACACTTGTGGAGTAAGTTCGCAAGACCTCACAGGTCTTAGCCACCGAGCGCTTCGGCAAATGACAGGTGAGTGGTGGAAAAGGGTGCTGTGAATTCAATATACCCAATGTTGGTGAACTGTACCTGTTCTATCCATGATGCCAGCTCTCCCATTCTGGATCTTCTCTTTGCTGCTACATAGAAATGGTTGCTGGTCATATGAAGATAAAACCCTGCTACCCTGGCTTGCACACCAAAATAGCTCGTAAATGGATCGTTCATCCCCCCGAACATGGCAGCATATAGGCATTGATCCCAAGGGCACCTGCGCACCCCAAGTCTTTGAGGCCACTCGCTTCAGGAGAGCGTCCTTGACATGGCGCGGCTGAAAAAATATGCTCCCAAAATGATGGATTTAATGCGATTTAAGCAGCAAACATGGTGGTTTCACAGATCACCTATGAGATGAAAGGGGGGTTCCCTAAATTTTCAGACAAAGCCAAACGCGGGATTGAAGTTTGAATCAACATTGGTGATGGAAAAGCCAGAATTGGGGATGGAAACCATATAATGAAATATAAATGCTAGTTTAATGGGGATGTAATGGGGATACAATATAACCAACAATTGATGAATAGACTGGTTAGATTTGGGGGTATATACCCCACTTCCAGAGAAACACAAATGATGGCTGTACAGCGACAATGGGTGTGGGTCTGGCCATTGAGGTACCAACGGGCCCACTTTGGCTGGTCCAAAAACTTTGACCAATACCCAAATGGTGGATGACCACCCACAACTTGGATTTGACAATCACTAGGAGAGGAGTTTTAGGTCCCGATTCGAATAATCCTGTACTAACGATGATTGGGGCGAAAATCACAATCTCTGTAACCAACTCCGGTGACGATCTGAGCTAAGAAGAAACCTTGCAACTGGAGTTGCAGCCCCCATCGTTCGACACACCCACTGCTTGTTGAACAAGTCCCCTTCATCATATCCATGTTTGTTGATAGAATCGCCCTGTTTATTGCTTGAATTCCCATGATTTCTGGTTCAATTCACATTCTTGAAATCATAATTTGGGTTGGAAATATGATTGAATTGTCAAATCCCTATATACTTTTGTTTGCTTAAATCCTTATTCTGGCGGGTTAAACCCTCCTATCTGTTGGTCAACTCTTCTGGAATACCCCACTGAGCTTGCCACGATCACACGCTGACCAATCTTGGCCAGGCGGCCCAGACGTCCCCCTAGGCGTTTGAGGGTCTGAGTCTTCAAAAGGAACATAGGCAACCATTGATGAATTATACAACCAGGTTAACCATGGTTTTTATGGCAGATACAAGCACAGTGAATGGGGGGTTGTAAGCCAACTTGTAACTGGCCTTGCGGTTTATCATATGGGATATTGTAGCCCCACATGAAGCATCATGATGGATAAAGCAATGAAGATATACTGGAACAACGGGATTGGTCGTAAAAATTAGGAAACCATCAATGGAAGAAAATTTCGGGGATATCAATCAGCAACTATTGGGATTCGAAATTGGAATGCTATGTTTTGCAAAACCAGGCCGCTAGGCCGCTAGGCATGTCAATGGGAAAAGGGGGATAGTGGCTAAAAAACACCAGGATTGGACTTGGGACTGTTACGAAGTGGAACGCGGATCTATGTTGTAGATATACACGTATATATCGCCACTTCAATGGAGAATATCAGGCATCTTTAGCCATCATCAGTAGGGAAAAAATGTAATATATAGATCAACAATAGTCAATAGTCGGAATTAAAACATGTAAGATCATGTATATAAGTGTTATGAAGTTGTGATTAATAGAAAAGGAAAGGCTCTTTTGAGAAGGAAGTGTAGACCATGTTCACTCGAAAAATGACTTGTCAAAACTCATGAAAAAATCTGTTCAATGCTGCAGCATCCTACCAGTCTGTGGCTCCCAGCAGTCCATCTCCTCGCTAGTACTGATCTCCGTCACTTCAGTGATTTCGGTGCGCTCGGTCTTGGTGGCCAAAGATGACTCGGACTTGTAGTTGCTGGCAGTCTGCAGGGAAGCGCCTGCGCCGCAAAAATCAGCAGCAAAAAAAAACACGGCATCAGTCGCGGCGGGTTGTTTCTGGCACACGAGCCATCTTGGGAAGAGGTCATGGACTTTTGAACAGCTTTTTGAAGGGATGGCTGGCTGGTTTGGCATTCAAGGTTAAGTATGGTCATCTTCCAGCACCTGAAGGCAGTCGAGGACCCTCCAACTGACTCTGCTTCAGGTTCACGTAGAGCCTGCTGCGCAGTGAAAATTCACCTGGATCCATACACCTAGAAGCATGGTATTATGGGTAACGGTCATCCTACCCTTATTAGGCTTCCGCATCATGGATATATGAAGCCCTATAGTGTACGGATACGGATGACCGTAGCCAATATGGATCCCGCTCCACTTCGAGTAACTTTGCAAAGCCACATCGTGGATCATTTTATGGGTCATACTCTTGCCATCAGTGGGAAACTTTGGGGCGGATCGCCACTCTCATTCGCCAAGGATCGACCAAAAAGATGTCCGATCCAAGTGGTTGATGATAAAAACCCAACGAATGGATAGTGATTTCTTCATAAACCTCAACTAATCCAACCATCCATGGATAGTGATGATATATAATATCATGAAAACTAATCCAACTAATCATAATCCAACTATAACTAATATCATAAGCTAATCGTAAACGAACCATAAACCCCAACTCATCCAATATTAATCCAACTACTTGAATAATCAACTATAACTCACTATAACTAATCATAAATAGTGATATTCCCAAAAAAACACAAACCCCAATCGTGTCTCGCCTCGACAGCCCGCGATCGCGGCAGCTTGAGCTGCAGTAGGTGAGATCATCGCGCATGTAGACCTGCGATTTTCGGCACTTTCGGCGAAAAAAACTGTTTTTCTGTGAGAACCTGTGGATATCTAATTTAAAGATATTGAATATTGAATTACAAGAGGTCATCAAACTGATCCGAGAAGGTTTTCTGCGGTCAAAATATTTGAACGAATGGTATTTAATTAACCTAAAAACAAACAGGTGTAATTAATTATGCCTTATTTGTAACTAGTTATAATTAACTACGACAACTAATAAAAAGAAGAAAAAACAAACTGATAAAACATGATAAAACTATGGCTAATGACTAATAGAAAAAAACAAAGTGACATTATTAACTGAGGTTAATATATTGCGAAACAATGATTACTGTAGTTAACTATGACTCTGTTTTAACCAAAAATAATGAAGTGATACGTTTGGATGACTATGGCTGTCTATTGGAATTAAAATCATCATAGCTTTATAAGCGTACCTTATGATGATGAGCCAACTCAGACGTGTCTTCAAGGTCCAACTTGATCAGCTCCAACCAACCCAAGATCGGCCGGGCCATGAAGAAATCTGCTAGGTTCCACATGGCTCCAAATATCCTGTTCAATCACCATGTCTAATGGTCAAATCTGACCATAGCACATATGCTTCTCCAGCCACTACAACTGGTCAGTACTGGTCCCAGCACCGCACCGGAGCGGATTCAGGGATCATCCGGATGCAGCAACTGCAACGAAAGACATAGTCTGGCCTGAGGAACTCGTTGTATTTTCGACTACCCAAAACAAGGTCTAGTTTTGCAAAACCCGACTAAAACAGGAATCAATGGAATCAATCATAAAAAACCTGACTTTCAAGCTGGTAGAGCTGACCTCCGCACTTCTGAGACAGGCACGAGCCATTGGTAGTTGCAGAATGAGCATTGCATCCTGTGCTACGCCCGCACCCGGCTGAATCACTGTGATTACCATTGGCTGAAAGCTTGTGGTTTATGCCAGAATATGGATAGTGATGGGCAGTTGCCTACTTATGCCTTTATCTTACATATCATATAATACATGTATACACATAATTACATGTATGTATATATATATACATATATATATATACATATATATATATATATACATATATATATACATATATATATATACATATATATATATATATACATATATACACATATGTATATATATATATGATGTATGCATTTAAAAAACTTCCATGTTGTGGTTTCAAATGACAAATTGATCCAAGAAACAAGGTTTCACAGGTACATCATTTTAAGATGCATTTCAAACGCCTCCATGTGAAAGCCTCCTCTGGAATCGGCTGTTTACAGCTGCCCCCATTTTTGCGCAGCTCGAAGTTGTCAACATGGCCGGTCTTAGATTCCCTTCCCTGAAAAAGAAAGACTCTTTCGCTGGTTTGCGGGTGTATATATATAATATGTGCAACGTGGTAAGCCCAATAATACATCATCCCGCCCAAATCACTTTAAATGGGTGGTAGCCAAAAACACCCATTTTGGTAGTTGTTTATGGCATTGGGTTTACATGGGTTTACCACGCACATATCCTCATAGCCAAGGATTAGAGTACCAAATTCATCCAACACTCAGATGTTCAGCAGCTGGGAACCCACACCGGTCATGACCTCGGAAGAAAATTTTGGGGGTTTCGGTGGTGAAAACTGTTTGCAAACAATTGAATGTAGATGGATGTTAATGGGATTTATAAACCAACAAACATAACTGGGAGAATTGTAGTAATCCATGTGAAATGCTGTTGATGCTCCTTGAAACTGTTTGCAGCACTTCGTTGAGATGCAGACTTTGCTCGACTAAGGGGCGGATGCACTCAACTGCCCTATCTGTACAAACGAAATGTGGATGCAAATATGCAAAATGTATGACACTGTGATGCGAAGTAGTTGGAACGAAATTGGTAGTGGCAGAGGGCACTTTCTTTCTAGGAAAACGGATCTTGAGCCAAAAGGATGGCCAAAAGCAGGACCAACAAATGCTTCCAAGATCTTCCAAGATCTTCCAAGCATTTAACGTGATGCATGTGGTTCATCAACATCTCAAAATCTCGAGATCCCAAGATCCAAACTCCACCCGACTCTACAGCCGTGGTTTTTTCATCGCTCTCCATGTCGAAGCAGCTTTATCAACTCATCAGGTCCGGCTCATCGATGTGGAAAACCTGCCAACGGGAAACCCCGAATTTGACATGCCAAAAACCTTGAGAAAAAAGATGAAATAAGTTTCGGTGGTATCCCCAACAGCTGCAACGTGGTATTTTTTTCACATGCTGCGAAGCCAAACGCTGGAAAAACTTCAGCGTGCTCCAAAGCCTCCCAGAACCTTCTCTGGAACCTTCTCCAGAACCCTGTTGAACTTGACCTGGCTCTGCACCAAAGCCTCCCAGACCTTCTCCGGAACCAAAGCCTCCCAGACCTTCACCGGACCCTTCTCCGGAATCCTGTTGAACCTGACCTCGCTCTGCACTAAAGCCTCCCAGACCTTCGCCGGAACCTTCTCCGGAACCTTCTCTGGAACCCTGTTGAACCTGACCTGGCTCTGTACCAAAGCCTCCCAGACCTTCTCCGGAACCTTCGGAACCTTCTCTGGAACCTTGTTGAACCTGACCCAGCGCCTGCACCAGTGCACACCGGAGCTATTCTGGGCTGAAGACCCCATTAGCTTACGCTGTTGGGGAAAAATATGTAAAAATGTAAAAACATCCACTTCCGAAATATCAACTCCGAAATCCTGCAATTGCTCTGTAAAAACAAAAAGTTGGGTGGAGTGATGTTCCAGCCTCGAGAACGCGTCGAAACTGGTCGTGGACCGACATGCCAGCTGCTTGAGTTCGATCTCCCTTGGCAATGTGAGAAATACCAACAAGAACTGGCGAGGGATGGTAGCATTATTGTCTTTGTGGGAAAAATAGAAGGGCCAGTTTGGTATACTATTTAGTCAGATTTACCTATTCATTGTGGAATGGGGTGACCCCTCTGTGAATCAACCCATGGACATTCAGGACATTCATGCACAGAATCGAAGCTGAGGTGTGTGGTTTATGATCATCCATACCACAATAGGAATCCCAACATAATGCATATATACAGTAACTCATTATAAATCCCTGTTGATGGATTGATGTCCATCCGCCACTGAGTATGCAATCCAACTAACTTGACCATGGCACATATGTAGATGATGATGTAGAAATATGCCACTGGATGCCACTGGGAGATCACCAAATGTGGCATAGAACCACGTACTCAAAGAAGTCTCAAAGATAAGTCCGTGGGTCAATCGGTCGTCAGCTGATTTTGGTCCGCAACAGATGACTCTCTTTGTTTCTGAACGAAGTAAATGCACAATTTTGGCTGCGAATTTCAACCTTTCGTAGATGGGTGAAAATGTGGCATTCCCTCCCATTTTATGGCCATTCCATGGGGAATATATGGGAACAAGGATAAGATAAGGCGGTGAATCTGGCTTTTGCTGGCCAAATATGGCCAAATCAGGTCAGAATGCGCCTGGTGCCGCCCAGCAATCAAGGAGCCTGGCTCCCAAGCCACTCAGAGGGATAGAACAGTTGAGTTGAGCAAGGGATCATGGGAGCAAAACAAACAAGAAGTGAATAGCCAACGGATTCATGGAGGAATACTATGGAAATCTATGGAATACGACGTCTTCAACCAATGACTGGCTTTTTTTGGGGGGAACCGATTGGTCCCACAAGTCCTGCGCCGAGATCGCCGAGTCGCTCATTTCATCCTGAATCGCCTGCAGGTGGCACATGTCGCCGACGTCCAGAAACGATGATGATGAATTATATGAATTATATGAATTATCAAGATCCATATGGAAAAGGATATATAGCCCCATTAATAGATCTATTATATGAATTATCTATTATACATAGCCGCTATAGCCCTTTTCCGATCTCCGCTTTCCATACTTCTGTTGTTTCCATTGTCAACTTGCGTCAATATCATTTTTAGTCGCGCTTCCCATTGGCGCTGCTGGCAAAGGGCATTCGAGTGAGAGCCTTCAGAAAAGCATCACCAAGCAAAGCATACGGCATGACTGCACAGTAGACCGCGGTGGACACGATCAGAGCCATCAGCCACGCCCCCAGAGTGTAGCCCATGACGTGAACGTGATGGAACTCAATTGGCATCAGCAGGAGCCGCCCACGCATATAGTGAATCGCGAAGATGTTGGACAAGTTGATGCCCAAAGACAGTCTCGAGGCCAATAAAACCCACCAACTTGGCGCTGCAGCAGTTGTTTTCTGCATTCCATTCAGCAGCAGGGCCACACCAACAGCATGGAGGCAGTTGCTGACGAGGAAGGTGGCTGCTTTAGAGGCCGAGAACTTCATGTCAGCAACTGCCACAGGTTGTATCCCACTCATCAAATCTGTGGGAGGGAGCGAAAGCCAGGCCACGAAGAGGGACATCGCTACCAGCATTCCGGCCACGTTTCGGGAGGCACTAAATTTGCTTGGCACCAACGCGCAGAGCAGTGCCCCGGGGAGCATATGCGCTGTGGTCCCTTGCACAAAGCGGTGACCCGGTCGAAAGCCCTCGTGGAGGATCTCTGGTTGCCACCAAAGGCCCAACGCCGTTAGCGTGACAAATGCAACTATGGATGCAATGTCACCGAAACGACCGAAGAGGTGCTTCACAAGCCCAAGACCTGCAGCCAACACGCTCACTGCGAAGAGATTCTCAAAAATCTGCATGTTGTGACAAATAGTGACCACCGGTGAGTAGAGTTTCAAAGCAGCGTTGGCAGGCGCATAAATAAACAACAGACTCAAAAGCCACATCGGAGGCACCATATGCTCAAAGGGCTTCAAGGGACTGCCGGGGCGTACAGGCGCAGCTGAGCATGTCGCTCTGCGATCCTGGTACCAGATTCGGGCAAACTCTGGAAACGGCTTCCAAGGGATGTCCCGAGACAGCCGCAGAAAGAACCACATCCAGAAGCCCAGCTCGCACGCTTGCCTGAGCCAGCGCCGTAGCAACCATGTGGTGGATACAGCACTGGTCCTCCAGAAGCCTCGCTGACCATGAAGGGCCCGTTGCATGGAACGCAGGCTGAGATACGCAGTGAGACATGCGAAGGTGTAGTTCACTCGACCCAGAACCTTCGCAACTTGGCTAGTCAGAGGTTGAAAGCTTTCGATCCCGCCGAAGCCACTGTTGCCCAACCAATCTACTAATAGAATGACATGTTGCCAACACACGATGATTTGCAGCAGTAGCCGCAGCAGATGGAGATCTGGCAAGTCCTCCGCTGAAGTCGAGCTGGAGCAAAGGTCTGCCAGGTGACGTTGTGGAGCAAAAAGCCGCAGCCAACCTGAAGATCGACCACAAAGCTCCAAGACTTTTGTGAGGAAGCCAGCCAGGAGTGGCGGCACCGCTAGGAAAGCCAGGATCAAAGTGTTCTGCTCATTGGGGCGCCAGCGTGGCTGGTACTCCCAAAGTTGTTGTCTGTAGGGCCATTGTTCTCTGTACCATGCTGCTGCACCTCCTGGATAGAGCGCCACTACTTTGAACATGAAATGCGAGGCGCGGTCGTCCTTGTCCACTTCGTCCGTGTCTTTGTGCCAGCGCCCCAGAATCTCCAGATTTTTCGGGCCCCAATTCTTGCCCATGTATCTTCCCAGTAAGTATGGCACGAAAACCGTGTCCACCACAGGGTATGAACAGGACGAAGGAACGCAAATCCCAAACTCCAAGGCCACATCTTTCACGCCAAGACGGATCGCTAGAAGGCCCCAATAAAAACGGTGCCCGCCCTCGGTGCACACCTCAGGATTCCCAACATGGGCAATATCATGGCCCAGAAGGGACGAGTGCCGCCTGAAAAAATGAAAGTTGGCAGGTTTGTCATAGTTCGCCATACATTCCGACATCGTCTGTTGCCATTTCCGTGGGCCTTTTTGTATCAAGTCACTTGTATTCTGACCTTCCTTGGAGTTGCGATCCAGGCAATCAAAAAAAACAAATACCATCTGGTTATTTAACATAGCCATGGAACATCATGGAAAATCACCATTTTTAATAGGTAAACCATCTATAAATGGGCCATTTTCCATGGCTATGTTAAATAACCAGAGGGTAAAATACCCATCAATATATACCAATGTGTTCAATTCTAAAGATGTGTTCCCTGTTTTCCACTCAAATGCTGCATTAAAAAACCCATGTTTTTGATGTTCCCCTTTTTGGTTGGATCTTTCATGCGGAGGTTTCCAATCCATGGGGGTACCCCATTGATCATCCATTTTTGGCAAGGATTTTCCACTACGAAGCAGCTGGGGATCACCTATGACTTGGTCAACCCAGCGTCCATCTCTCGCCGCCGCAGCTCGGGTTCGCAGCACATCTCCCAGTTGAAGTCTTCGTCCCAACAGCTCGGCAGGCCGATGCCCCAGGCCCCGCTGCAGCAGAGCTCGAAGGTGAAACTGCCGATCCAACAGCTGACTGCCATTTCTGCCAACGTTTTTTCGTGTCAACATCTATGGAGAAGCATGAAACATGACCATTTATCAATATCATCCATCATTATCATAAACCATGGCCAATTAAATAAGCGTCTTCTTTAATCCTTTCCTTGGTTGTCCATCTGTGTGTGTGGGTATGGGTCAAAATCGGGTCTCCCAATCATTGGATGGTTCTTACTAACAGACAAAAATCTGTGGTCCCCGAGGTCATGAATTTTGACCCATAACCCATATATATATATTTATATACATCATATACACATGTACATTTGTATATACTGATCTAGGATTTGCATACGTTGATGTAAAACAATGTATGTGCTCGTGATATGCCGCACTTATCTCACATATACAGAACACATTTAACTTAACCATGGTGTGAACGTGTGGTTTCAATTAGCCGCCAGACAAAAAAACAACGTCAACGTCGTCTTAGATCACTATCGGAAGTCTCTGTGTGATGTTTCGAGCCAAACTCTGTCATGACTTCGGAGCATGTTGGCCCACACGGATGCTGAGGACTCAGGACTTGGAATGCATCACCACTTGCTCTATCTGATCCACCTACATGCAGTCGAAATCCGAAATGAATAATCTAGAAAAAAGGCAGTTCTACAGCCAAAGCTGCCAATTCCACTTTTTCTGCAGCCCGGATGTCAAATTCCAATTGTGCTTTGTAGCAAGTCGTGATTGCAGCACCACAAACCAACTCATTCGGAAGAAAGGATCGCCAACTCAACTCGGTCCTTGACTAGAGACTTCAAGCAAAATAACATACGTATAGTAGTAGTGTGCTGATGTAGACCCAAGGTGAGTGGTTGATACGGGGCCCTTTAACAAACACCCAAAGCATGCACTTTTCACATCTCTCTCTCTCTCTCTCTCTCTCTATTCCAACAGTGACTAGGACTGCCCATCTGCAAATTGTCTACATTTCCAAGACATACGGCTTATGGCTAGTCTGCTGACCATTGAACGGCACCACGAGAACATATCCCAAAAAAAACTCAAATGATTGCATGCTCAAGAAGCAGCATGAAGATGGATCTCTGCCAGGCATGGTCTGCGAAAGTCAAAGATTCCATGATGGCACCCATGGTCACAACATCAGGAAGGATTGCACCACATCTGAGGCACTCCACCAGCTCTGCTGCATGGAGCCACTTCGAGGCTTTCGCAGATGCAGTCATCACAGTTGAACTCATCACAGCTGAAGCAACACGTCCTGCGACTTAAAACCAGTTGAATGTTGGAAGCCACACTCATTCTGCTTCAAGTACAAAGTTCGATCGAACCTGATCATATTCCATGTGAAACCCCCCTGGGATTTGAATCTTTAGTTTCTTTTTGTAAAATCTAATTCTGTGTCAAAAACAGCAACGGACTCGTGTTTCCCATCACACCCGTGGTCCTCCAGCGCCGAAATCGTCGAAACTGCTCAAGGCCTGCGGCCACCCCCTGACCTTTTCACACGCCGTAAGCAGGGAGCATCTGCTGATCATCGAAGGCCGCAGGCTTCGTGGCATCAAAGACCCAAACAGCTCGGCAGCTTTCAGCCACCGACCCGCTGCACCGCAACAGGTAATGCAACTGTTGTAAGTGATCACTGTAGGTTGGAGAAACCGATGCTTCACCTGGCTGGTGCTTTCAAACTCCTGAACAATGTTAGTTGCTGGCATCATCATCATCATCATCATCATCATCACCATCATCAAGAAGGAGAAACAATTCCGAATGTTTCGAAGCCAGTTGCCATCTCCTCCACGTACTTCAAGGACTCCTCCCAGCCAGACGTTAGGACGCAGGCGGCACCTGCAGCATTGTAGCTGACGCTGTCAGGTCTCCAACGGCTGTGGCCCATGCAGCGCAGCAGGTAGGCGGCCGCGGTCCATTCCCCCGTCCTTTCGCCCGCCGCAATGGCGCCGTTCCAACAGATGGCATCCACGGGACCACTGAGGAGTCGCAGAGCGGTGGCCCAGCCGCAACCGCACGACATGACGGAGCCAAGGGTGATGGGATTGGGACGCAGGAGTCGGTGCCTCAGCTCTTCCAACAGAAAGGAGGCACTGGTCCAATGACCTCCCTTGGCACAAGCATTGATGGCAGCGTTGAAGCCTGAGCTGGGCAACGCTCTTAGATTAGATGTTGAGCATGGCCCCATGGCGACAATACTCGGAAGCTCAAGCATGGAAACTAGGGCCCACACAAGCTAAATTCGGAAGACAAAGAGCCCTGGGTATCCTCTGGAAGAATTCGAGTGCCAGC